ATTTTTTTTGTAGGCTTTTTGTACTTACCTAATTTGCCAAGTGCTTTGAGGCTTGAGGACGGAATGGGAATGCAAAGAGGCAGGAAAAAAATAGAAGGAAAGCTCGGCTCAAAGGGTATAAAATTTCTAAATTTCTAATTTCAAATTTCTTGTGAAAGTGCGAGAATTTTATGATTATGCGCAAACAGAGGAACAACAAACATTTTTCGGAACCCAAATTCGGTGCAGTTTGAAGACTAAAAAGTCCAAGTACCTCTTCTTTTTCTCCTATTTTCCGTTACGTCCTTTTTTTCTTGAAATCTGCTGATTCGTATAAATAGCGGACATTTCCATATCGATGTTAATAGCAAAGTTTTTTTTATAAAGCTACCAAAATTGGCTAAGGAAATGTCAAATCATGCTAATGCCAGGATAAGCAATGTGTACTATAAGTGCAATAACTACATGGATTATTTACTAGCTTTCCACACTTGTAGGCTTCCTTCAAAGCATGCGTTATTGACTACTGAACTTTCCCTTTTCTAAATGAAATGCAAAGCAGAATGGTGCTTTTCTAGGAGGCTCACTCAGCGTAGGATCTTGCAAGAACGCGAAACTAGAACAATTCTTATTATTAGAATTAATTGCAGCTTGCAGTGCTCAACACTTTTCAAACAAATTCATTCTAGGCTTGGAGAAGCTAGAGAAACAAATTTCTAGTTGTCGTAGTTACGTGAGTGAAAAAAGTAGAAATTGGTGAGCTTGTTTTTTTTTCTAGCGAAATTTTGGAGTAAAAATTATAATGAAGTTGAGAATTGCATCATAATTTACATTATGGGGTTTCGGAACAAAGAATTTGCTGAGAGATATGATCCCGCAAAAATTGCAAGGAATATGAAATTTTTTTTCCAAAAACTCCATAACTCCCATATGTTGCAGCGAAAGAGTTTCATCAAACTATTTGGTGGGAGGAACTTAAATAACTATGAATTTGTTATCTCAAAAGTTTAAATTCAAGCACCATTCAAGTACAATAATCTCTGAAAACTTTCTAAAAGCTAATTTGAAACTCTTGTAAAGCTCAGAAATTCTTTAAATCACAATTGAAAAAGAGTCGTTCGCACAGCTTCATAACACTAAAGGGTTTCAAAAATCCATGGATACGATGGGAGGAGGCTGGGAAAGGGGCGATATTGTCGTTATCTCATTTAACCTTTATTTACTTAACGAAGAAACGAAAGGGACTTTTGTCAAGCTTTGGTACGTACTGCCATAAAGAAGGATTGTATTGACATATTGACGGCAAGGCTCATTTCAAGTTGTCTGCCTTGTGGTTCAATGCCTTACACGAATAAGTTGAAAAATTTTGGTCAAAATTACGCAAATCGTCATCTACAGTATACCTACAGTAATTCTAGAAAGCAGCCGAAAAACGTGGAAGCGATATCTAGCATTAGAGCGCAAGAGAACTACTGAGACAAATGCATTCCCAAATAGTAGTCACTGAACAAAATTTAAGCCATGACCTACCATGTGGGTCACATTGAACCATGCGGCATTCATCGCAAAAACATTAACATTGCATTAACCCATATGTGGGTCATGTTTTCGTCAATGTGTTAAATTTGTATAAACTATCTTCTCAACTTTTTTGCAATAGAAAGCTCTGATTCAGCTGATGCAGCATACCTCGTTAGCTTTCTCTTCACCTGAATAGCCGATCAGAGTTCTTGATTAGCCGTGTTTTCCCATTTTTTCTGCAAACTCATTCCCCCCCCCCCCCCTTCTGCAAATGATGAAAAAACACCGCAGGTTGCTCTAGTCATCATCAACGACTAAACAAAGTAATCCACGTAGTCTCAAGGCTCAATTTCAATTTCCTCAACTGCTCGTCGGCATACGAATACGTTGCAGAGGCACTTATTCACAAGAAGGCTTGTTTTCCCTGGAGAACGTAGGTGACGTCAGTCTACTTTTAAATCTTGAATGATGGGTGGGAATTCCGTTTAGGATCATTTGCAGTGTATAGACTAGAAGAGAAAAGATGATTAGAGGTTTGGTAATTTTTGATAGATGAAGGATATTCCAGAAAAGGAATCAAATATGGTTCTTTCTAGGACAATCTATATTTTTTACTGCACCAGTTCTCTATGGAGATGACACTTACTTGAATTCAGTATTTTTTTGCGTTCCGCGAGTTTTGAAGATAATTTACTGCTCCACTTTTTTAGGAGATGGGACTCATTTAATGCTCCAAGTGAATTCACTGCTTTTTAAAAAAAAGAAAGTTTTATAACCATTGAAAACACCTTTGGCGAACACTTTTTTGCGAAAGTAGTGCAAAGGCTTCTAATTGAACAATATTTTGTTCAACGGAGACATACATATTTCTACCGTTTTTGTGTTCCTCATTCTCTCGTAAAAGTTGCTTTTCGTCTATTTTGGAATACAGAAGCAATTTGCGTAGTTAATGCAGGGAAGATTGCTCAATTACAGTAACCTTTTAGACTAACTTCCTTGTTATTTGTATGGAATTATTAGTTGTTAAACTGCGATAATATCAAAAGGTATTTCAGTGACAAAACATATTATTTCTGATAAGATATCTCTACTTTGAAAAAAAGGTTGGTTGCTTCATCGCTAATGAGTTCAGGTAATTTGAAGAATTGTATCGTAAACGATTTTTGGGAGATCGTATTTTTTGGTAAGTTGATACTAAATAAATATCTTGCCAAGGTCATTATTCAAACTGAATATATAAATACTCCAAAATAAATAGGTAGATAAGACTTTAGCTTTTATCGTCAAGTAAACTGATTTGTTGTGAATTTGCGCTTTCAAATAAAAGAAGTGCAAAAAAGGCATTGCAATACCGTAGCTTTGAGATTTTTCAAGCCATAGAATTGTCAAAAAATTTCTGAAACACTTTTTTAAAGCCGAGGTTTGTCATGCAATGATATTTATAAAACATGACCATTTATTTGTAGTGGTTTGGGTAACAACAAAACTGAGATGGATGCGTCAACTGCGAAAACGAATTTGCACCATTGACTAGGGATCTCTAGAATATCTGGAGAGCGTGAAAAACCTTTTTTTTCATGTGCGGTTTTTTCTTCGTTTTCTCTCCACTTCAAACTTCATGTACGAACTGACGTATAAATCTAATTGTGGATGTAAGAATTTCAAACAGTAGCTGGACAAGTTTTTGGACAATGCGGGCACTTTTCGATTGCTAAATTTGAATATTTGAATTTTGAAAGTGAAATCAAATTGTACTTGACAACGCCTAAGTTCGCAAAGTTCACTCTTTCACTTCTAAGCTGCTTCAGGACCAGCTTATTGACCATAAATTCACAATGAAATGTTTTTAGGTTTGCCTAACCCATACGGGGACAAAGCTGCTTGCGATTTCGTAGTTGAGAGATCTTGAATGCAAATAACGTTTGCAAATGCATGCTCGGAGAGCGAATCCGGTAAATAATGTAGGGGAATAGAAAGATCTCAACAACCAGGGAAGAATGCTTTATGGGACAACTTCTAGGCTCCCACATTTTTTACATACCCGGGTCATCTAAGTATCTAAGTAAGTAAGTAATCTAAGATTTAGATTAATTCTTCCAGTAGATTCAATTATTCTCATGCCTTCTTTGCCATCATTTGAAATAGAAAGGTAATTATGATAATTATGCATGAGAAAAATAATTGAATTCAAGCTTCATTGGACTTGGGCGCTTCAAGAAAGGTTTAGAAATCTGTCCAAGTCTAAGAAAGGTCTAGAAATCTGTCCAAGTACAAGAACCTATATAAGGGATCTAGAAAATAAAAAAATTTTGATCTAGGAATTTTTTTAAGCAAATTATGCATATTAATGCAGAGAAGATCGTTTTATTATATAGATCTCTGGCTAGTTTCCAGGAAGAAAAAACAACGAAATATGTAGAGCTTGAAATAATGTTTTCATTTACATCTGGAAGTTTTAACTGAGTCGCAGAAAAATAATTTGGACACTCAATATGAACCCGTAAGTTGATATCTTTGGAAAACTTCATATAATGGAGGCTTTACTTGTACAGATGAAGAATCTATTGATTCCGATCAATGGGCAATTATCCCACATTTTAGTGGATTAGCCGATTTGTCATAGCCATAAGGAAGTGCTTAGTCTTTTCTGAAGAATTAGGATGAAGGCGAAAGGAAGGCGGGAGGAAAAAGGGAAAGAAAACATGATGTGGTAGTGATGAATCTGTCTACACTGCCTCGAATCGTAAGCTCTGGAAACTGCAGATTTGGACAGTTGCCAAGAGAGACCACTCTGTTTTTTTATAGCTCAAAAGATTTAAGAACATGACCATCACTTCAGTAAATGTTCCCGCATGATTTCCTACTCCCTTTCCCTACCTGAACGATTTTGGTTTACTGTAACTTTCAACGTAAAAGATATAAACTCAAAATCAAAATATCCCGTGATGCTTTGGAAAAAAAGTAATTTTCAATTTCCAGAAGAGGAAGAGAGAAAACTTCCAGAAAGTCAAACCACGTCGTCATCGCTAGCTTTGGCACCAAAAGCTCTTTTAAATCTCTTCAGAAAAATTTCAAAACTCCATAAAATAACTTTCTCATGAGTAACCGCCGATTACCGTACTGATACGGTATGCATACTGCAGCAGTTGAGCTGCCATTTTGGAGGTTCGGAATGACTGAAATTAAGACACACGCATTGCATCAGTGCAACCAGAACGGTGCTTTCTTACAATTTTCAAAAACTAAAAAAGTCTCTCTTAACAATCCATTAACGTAGCGTTACGGTACGATTACTGTAGCATTCAAATAACAAAGATCCATAGAGGGCGATACCCGGATAAGATACAACCGGAACGGTTTTCTTGTAAAAGTTCGAGAAATTCTAAGAGAAACACCCTTTTATTGGTCATCGGTAGCCACAGTGATACGGTATGATTACTGTAGCAGTCAAGTCCCAGTTCAAACATCAATAAAGATTAAAACTTTAATAAGACACAAACCTGCAGCAATAGCAACCAGAACGGCGACTCGCATAATGTGAAGAGAGAACTTCTGCTTCGAAGGAATGGGTGTGGCCGAGAATCAAACGGGGGGCGGAGTGGCTCTCGCAAGTCTCTGGATCTCGCTCGTCGGGGTGCGGATAAATGAAGTGCTCTGAAGTCAAGAGTAATGAGTTTTTGGACATAGTTCACACTTCGGGCACGGAAACGAGCTCATCTTGCAACTATAAGGTTAAAACGGGGTTGCTGCTCGAAGAAAAAAAAACTGATTAAGGGGTCGCGGTTGTGCCTATTTTTGGAACTTCCCCAATCTAATGAACTTTCAAAGGTGGTTTTTCCTAGCAACGAGGTTTTCCACTTGAAGTGGACTTCAAACTTTTTCTTGTCAATTATAGCAACTAACAAGGTAAAAACAGTATCTGTGATTTTGCTGCATTTCAATTTCCATTTTAATTTTGGATTTCCACCTTTTTATCAGTTTTTTTTCAAATTGTATTCAGTGGCTTATTGTAAAATACGTAAATGTAACAGCAAAACCCGATTAAAAAACACTTTTAATGCAGGAGGTTATTCACCTATGATAGTGCTATCAAATGAAAAAAATTTAAGGGAAAGCAAAAAATATCTCGGTTACGGAAGAAGAATGATTCGCAAAATTGTGCATAGCTTTTTTCGTAAACAGTTTTGCCATAAAAAGTAACATATCTTTTCGAGCTCTGAAAGGCCAACCTGCAGTTTTTTGTAATGCAAGAGAAAAATTGCAAATTTTGAATTCTTTAATCTCACATTTCATGGTCCCATTATGACGATAGTGCCCCTTCCCATAGATTTTCAGCATTCTTATGGCTTTCTCATGGCTTGCATCATGAGAAAGCTTTCAGCACAGAGCACGGGACTCTCATTACAAGTATGTCATTCTCTCACAAATAAAAAAAAGTGAATTATTCTTGGAAGAAACAATAGAAACTATAAAGTCATGCGAAATTAACTCTTTTTTTCTGCGCATATTCAGCTTTCAGGTTTGAATGGAGTTTCTCATGTGAATTGAAGAAAAGTGAGTGTTCTGGAGCAGGTCCTGGCACCAGCTGGCACGGGACAAGCTGGATATCGTTTTTGGAACAAAAAGCAAAGGGGATATCGTTTTTGTCGAAAAATTGGGACATTTTTTTGATCGCCGTTTCGTTTTCTGGGGGTTTTTTAGGTTTAGGGTTTAGGGTCAAGGGGGACTTCATGATACTTAGCGAAAAGCAAGGGAGACTTCGTTTTGAAAATTCCCTGGTACCAGCTCGTACCGAGCCCTGTTCTGGAGTGTGGAAATCAAAATTACTTTTTTTCTTGAAGCACTTAGTAAGTTCCCGCGCAAACTCGTTGGCTAGTGTAAAAAGTGCTAAAAGAATTCCAAAGCCTTATAAAACTAAAACACACTTAAGTATCGCGTGTACTTTTCTCACATTGATATACAACCCTTGGAAGCCCTAAACCTCAAGCTCGTATGAAGTAGTGATTTGCACGTTGTAGGAGAGAAATCTAGGGGGTCCTGAGAAACCAAAGAGAATTTTTTTTTAAGAGTGATAAACTCATACGAGCACTGAAATCCATAATTCTTATGATGAGTAGCTAAATTGAAGATAGGATATCGAAGATTTCCTCATTTGAGAAGAGTTCTGCAAGAATAAAATTTCTTCTTAAATGAGGAAACATCGTGTCTCTCAATCTTTTTGAGCTATTTTGAAAATTTCTGGGCAACATGAAGGTATTTTTTATTAGCAGGGCAGAATATTATCTCAATTAAGGGCTTGTCGTTATTCTAACTCTTTTTAAGAAAATTTCCTGAAAATTTCCTCATGTCTTATGCATTCGTTCTAGACCGGGGAAATAGTATCACGATGTCCTCTAAAAGTCACTAACACTGCTACTATTCCAGCCAGTAGATTTGCCAGCTGAGTTTACTTACTTCAGAGAACTTTCAAGTATAATTACAATTCCCCCAAGCCTTAGATTGAATCAGAAAATCATAGCTATGTAGGTATAGCAACAAATTTCTTTGTAACCCTCAATTTTAGGTATAGCAACAAATTTCAGTGGAACCCTCAATTTTTTCAATTAAGCTTCTTCTGACGCAATACCTAAACGAATTAGCCTTCCACAATTCCCATAAAGCCGTAAGTTTCATCACTTATTCAATTCGAATACGGAGTTTCAAAAGCGGCTCGTACAATTTCTCACAAGTTGATAACTCGAGTAATATATATTATACAGAAATATGAAAAAAGGACCTGCGGGCAGGAGGGGGAGGGGAGGGTGGTGCATTAGAAATAGCTATACTTTTCTTTACGACTTAAGGACTAACTCCATTTACTACACTTTCACGTATAATAGAATCTTCAAGCGCACCTTTTGTAAGTACACAATTTGCATGAAATCAACTTATTCCTAGACACTGCACTATAAGAATTATGCGCACGTAGGTGTAGTTTATCATCATATTAGAGTGCTTGTCTGGGTCACAAGTTACCTGAAGAGAGCTATATCTCTTTCCCTACACCTCCCCCCCCCCTCTTTCGAACTTTCGTACAACCTTCAGTAATTTCCATAAATCGACTGTCACGACATTATCTGCTATTCAGGCGATTAGCAGAGATAATGATACTGCCGATGATCAATGCCTGAGGGCAATTTGTGGTCTAAAAAAAGTGTTATGATGTTTTTGATCTTGTGATATATCACAAAAGTGCACTAGAAAGTATGATAATAGTATTTTCGAAGGATAAATGACGCGTAAAGCAGTGTTATTATTAGTACATTAATAGAAAGAATTTGTGTAGTTGCACAACGAATATCTTCGTAAATTCTTTGATGGGGGTTTTTTACTGCTAACTTTCTGATATTTTGGTATAAATAGGTTTTGTCTGAAAAAGGACTTGGTCATATCACAGATGATCACTTTACGTAGCAGTCTCTTTTTTAGGGGAGAGGAGGGGGTGGACGTACAGCAGGGGGGGGGGGGGGGGAGGAGTGAAGGAGGTGAGCTTCGTAGGCTCTTTTTTTAGGGTTTTTGTGGCCTTGTATCCTCAAAGTACGGAAAAGTTGGCGTAACGGCAGCCATGCCTCGAAAAATATCATATAAAAAATCAAATATTCTATGCCTCAAAAAATAATATATAAAAGATTAAATATCTTGAAAAGTAAGGTTATTTTGATTCATTTACAAGTTGGGGAATGAGCGAGGTCAATTTGGTCAAACACTTGCAAAAGTTTCCACTTACCTCCCCCCCCCCCTCCCCAATGCAAAATAATGCGCTACTGTGAATACGATGGTGTGCTTATACACACACTTGCAACTTTAGTTCCAATGTGCTCGCACTGGTCCCTCACAGATCTGCTGTAAGATTTGTGTTGTTTCTCTTCGCCTTCTACTTCCCTTTCATACAAGAATATGTTATTATTACAATAAAGGGACCAAAATTGAATAAATTCTTGAAGTGCGAACTAGTCGACCTTGCCCGGTTTTGACGCGTTTTGGCGGGAAATCACGTCATATTCCGCGATGGACTATAAATGCAATTTGAGTGCTATCAGCAACCGATCACAAGAATAAGTTACTGAAAGAAATACTCCAAATTATCAGTTAGCTTTACCCAGTTTTGTTTTTGCGCTACAAGTCCGAGGAGTTCCTTCCATTTAGCAAGGAAATTCAAAGGCTTCTGATCCATAATGGATTATAATACTTTACGCAGAGTACATAATTCCCTAAATGGTTTTTACCAATCGTACATGCAGTTTAAGCAAACTTTACTATTCTTTTTTCTCTGCACTTTCCATTGCGTGCACCAGGAATACACTGGTACGAAACGTTAATATTTGCGGTTATCGTGCAACGTATACAACTGAAATCACCACTTCTCGAAATAGTAAACTGTATCTATGTTTTGAAAAAGAGAAAACTTTATTCGATCTCATAAAAAAAACTCGAACGTATCGCCGAGAGCGAATTACCATGCCAGCTTTGCTTGGAAGCAAAATGGAGAGAAGAGTTGGTTCTAGGTTTGACGAAATTCATTTACATAGACTTTCGCATACTTTAGAGGAAACTAGTGAACCAGTAAAAAGGTGCTACTTGAAAGAGCGTTCGCTTCGGGACGCGCCCTCGGTTTCCCGCTATTTGCAGATTTTTGAACTGTGCTAACGATTCTCTGTATTTTTTATTCTTTATTTCTTTATATTCTTTATGCACTACGAAAGTACAGTTATCCTGTCTGTGGGGCTTGGCGCAACAGGAATAGGGTCGAGCTGAACATCTCTGGGTAAAAGCAAAGAGTATATTGTTCTTGCAGGGCCTAAGGAGGAGCCACCGAAGAAATTGCAGAGATATACAGGGTGTCTTAAAAAATGTACCTACTGTTTGATTATAACTCTCTTGTAATGAAGTGTTTTGAGAAGCTTTAGGTACTGTTTTGTAGAGCGAGGTTAAACTTAGATTTGCAGTATGGAGCCAATCTTTTTTCACTACAATGGTTCCATATGCTGGAAGAACTTCCAGCATATGGAACCATTGTGAAATATACCACCTAACTAAATTTTTTCAAAAAATCTGAAAAATCGTGTACTAGGGTTTTCGCGATGCTGATTACCTAACAACTTTTTACAAGCGTTTTCAGCTTTTTTGACGGTGTAATTACATTTCTGACAAATGCTGAGAACTGAGTTATTACGATTTACGGGAAAAACTCAAGAAAGAAGCATCACAGTAAAATGGGAATTTCAAATTTGAAATCAGCGGCTCCCATTGCCGCAGCATAAGAGTTTTGGCTTGTTTGGTTTTGATCCGAGGGAGAATGTAGCCTCCGATACCCTAAAATCCTTGTCGAAGTTTGTACCGTAACCATACAGTAATGAAGAGCGATAGATGATTCGCTCCATACTGCGTCTAAGCTTACCTCGCTCTACAAAATGGTACCTAAAGCTTCTCGAAACGCTTCATTACAAGTTAATTACAATCAAACAGTAGGTACATTTTTTGGGACACCCTGTATATCAACAAACAATCACAGTATCCTCAATCTTCTTCAGATTAGTTCCAAACGTGCACATCATTTCAAAAGTGGGCATGCTGGCGGCAAGCTTATTCTTAATTTGACTGACGGCATGCTCTCACA